CACACACACACACACACGGATGGCAGATCTCGCTTGCTAACTAGCCACTTACAGAAGCTAACAGCTAGCATGCTAACACTGTATGCGGGCGACGAGTGCAAAGACAGAGCCTCCTGAGTGACAGCTATGTTACATACCTTACTATTCCTGATTTCCGTTGTTGGGAACTCCTTCTTAATACATTGTGATGTCCCGTTTCAGCTCAGCTCCAGCCCTAACACAGCCGTGCCCGCAGCAGCAGCAACACACCGCTGTAACAGCGGGCTGACAGTGACCACTGACCAGTAACGACGGAGCTTCCGGGGTTCGCCTCGGGTTTCTCCGTCACCGTTCGTCAATGTCCGGAGACGGATATTTGCTTAAACAGTGTCACCTTGTGGATTTTGACAGAATTGCAACTACAAAACTGTGACAATCTCAGCTCTCCACTCGCGGGTGCTATTTGCTAAATGCAATGCACGGTCCTCTCCGAATAAACGCGGAGAAACTGAAATTGAAATACAGCAGGTTTAATGTATAACTGTCATTATTAAGATAACCTACCGTTTGTAGTTGGGCAGTTGTGAAATGTTCCTGAGAATGCATGCGATGCTTGTTTATGATGCCATAAGGTAGGTCAGTTTATGTATGTGTGTATGCATACATGTATGGCTATATGTATGTATATGCCTATGCAGACACTGTGGCCTATGTATGTGTGCATGGATGTATTTTCTGCTCTCTTCCATGTAGGCAAACAAGTCTCAACCTTTTTATCAACTACAGAATTGTAACTGGTTGTCTCAAAGTATTGGTTTCATCTTTTGAATTATGCATCCCGACGTATTGCATTAAGGGCCCTCCAGTGTTTTTAAATATACTTAAATGACTTGTAGTTGTAGTTTTCTGGATGTATTTTCTGATGCTTCATTTTCATAGGGTATCATCAAACACTAACTTCACCCTTCACAGTGAACATCAGATCTGCCTGAAATTCTATCACTGTTAAGGTTGCATGGAAACTTTTTAAATCAATCTGCACTTGAACTGCTCCAGCGCTCCAACCTTGATAAGGTGAAGCAGATAAAGGGATGAATATTTTACAGTGCTCTGGCTTGCTCTATCTGAACAGTCTCTCTCAAAAGCTCAAACTCACTGAATCCTCTTGACATACAGTGACCATAACCTTGAACTTCACCAAAACCCAAGTTCAGCAAAGCCAAACACTGTCCTGCTGTTGAGGCGTAAACTTCCATGCATGTGACACTGCTGGACCAGTCACGTCAGGCATTTTTGGGATTGACAGCTGACAAAAAACACATGGTGTGACTAAGTGAAATATTTAGCTTGTCCTGACTGAGGTCTCTTGTGGTCAGCTGGGGACAGATGCCCACTTGTGGCAGCGTGTCTCCAGTAGGGAGCAGCATGACCTTTCCTGGCAGCAGTCTCTGAGGTCACGTGTTTCCCAAGAGTGGATTATAAAGCCAAGACAAAGCAGCTTGTCCCTTCTCTGCCCTGTGTCTGCAGCTGCGCAGTGAAAGCTCAGGGCTTCTGCCCTGTCCCATTCTGGTTCAGAGCCGATATCAGCTGTCTGTTTTAGAGGGAGGGAGAGAAAAAATACCCAGCAATCCTCTAAAGCAGCTTAAAGGCTGAATCAGGGGACTGAAGCCCTTTCCATTTGCAGAACTGCTTCTCTCTATCTCTCTCTCTCTCTCTCTCTCTCCATTATAAGCATCTGACTGACTGCCAAAAGAGCAGCCCCAGTGGCTACATGTAAACTTTCTACTGCTATCCTCCTAAGGGCTCTCCCCACATGATATACATCCCCAAAATATCTCCTGTGTAGATGTACTAGAATAGACATTAGAGACTCTGAATAGCAACTGAGACAAGCAGGGGTATTTGATTTTAACTCTTGATGTAATCAGGAGTCTTGTATCCGATTAAATAATGAATGCTAAGTGCTCATGTAACAAATAAAATCTCCTGGCAGGGGCCTTGGGCTCCCATGTGCATTATTATTTTGGTGCATTCCCTCCCACCCTTTGTTGACATGCTGGCTTTTGGAGTGAAATGAAGTGAAGCAAAGTGGAGTGGAGAGCAGAGTGGTTTGGAGCAAGTGTGTGATGTGACTGTAGCTAGTCCCCTCATCAGTGTGTGTCTGTGTGTGTGTGTGTGTGTGCGCGTGGGTGTGTGTGTCATAAAAGGGGAAAAGAAGACAAGGGCTTTGCTTACATCAGAGGGGATGAAAGGAGGAGAGAGAAAATACATTTGGAGAATAGTTCATGACAGGATAGCACAACTCCAGACTAATGTTAGCATCATTAGCACAGAAATTTGTCTGTCAGCGGAGACTGCCTTATTTTCATTTGGCCTGGGAACAAAGCCACAGCTGAGCAGTCTCACATGTTGGCTGTCTCCCAGATACACCAGAATTAAGAGAGATGAAGATGTTATGGGTTTTTAAAGAATGTTTTAGCATAACCCATTGACAGTGTAACACCTCAACAAAACACTTCATTTTCATATGATGCATTATAATAAAATCTAATCTAAACCTCTGGTATTGTCTATTGTGTAACACTCATGTCAGATTCATTCTAGATAGTCACACAGAGACGATCAATTAGTTGTTATTTGTACTTGAAGATGTTATGAACGTGTGTAATGTTTGGGAGGAATACAGGCAGTTAAGACACTATTAAAATAATGTTATTAGATTAGATTAGCCTGTATTGTCTCCCTTAGGAGACACTGTGCATTAGAGAACACCGTTGACAAAGTAGGGCATATCAAATATACATATACACATATACAATGAAAAGCTCGATATCACTTATATTTTTCTGTTAAATATGAAAATACCTCCCACAGTCGGTTAGCTTAGTTTATTACAAAGACTTTAAACGAGGGGAATTGGCTAAGGTAACATATCCACCTAACGCCTTTAGGTTTTTTACTAATTAAGTTTTTGTATGGATGCAAGATGCAACATCATCTTTAATTCATGCAAAAACTAAAGAGTAAAATCAGCACTGTGGTTCTCCCATGGATGTGTGTCTGGGACTGTCTCTTGGTTGGGAGGGCTTTGATTCAATGTGTTCATTATTGAGCTTTAGAGGTGCTGGTAGGCACCTACTTTTGGACAGAGCCAGGCTTGCTGTTTCCAGTCTTTATGTCTTTTGTTAGCTTTATATTTATCTTACAGATGATCTTATCTAACTCGCAGCAAGAAACCGAATAAGCATATTTCCCAAAATGTAATACTATTCCTCTAAAAAAATAATTAAACTAACTCCTCACACTTGATAAGACCAATTCTATTTCATGCTATAAGACAAAGCACAAGAACTGAGCTGCAATAGGAGATGCCAGAGTGTGGCCTTTTGAGACTTATAACCTGAGGGAAATGTCTTGTTAAAAAGAAAAAGAGAGAAAGCAGAAGAGTCTTCATGCATTCTTAATAAGAAGAATAAGCACCTCGAGAGAAATTGCCTTGGTGTTAATTTAAACACCACGGCCTGGCATCGATTTATCTGTGGTAAAAAGAGAGAGAAGAAGTAAAATAGTTGCAGTTGGATGCAATTTATGTCAATCATAGGATGCTACATGGAATTATTTACTGTATTATATAAAATATATAAATTGATTTAACTAATCTAAAAAAGCTTCCATTAAATTAGAACAAACAAGTGTGCTGAATATATATATATATAAGATTTTCCATTTCCTAAACTAGGTTTGGTGACGCTTTAGGTGAATCCATTAATAATAATAATAATAATAATCATTTTATTCGCTCTTCATACCACCCAAGGTACTTACCAGGTAACCACATCAACTCACATATAAAATACAAATACAGTCCCAGACACACATCCATGGGAGAACCATATAGTATATCGTATTAATATGGTCTATTTAATCAAGATACATTTAAAAAAAACAAATTCAAATTAGGGTCAAGATGATTCTTTGTGTTCCTCTTTTCTCTATTTGTAAAGGCATTACAGTACAATATTTTAAAATCTGTATAAATGCAATTGCCAGTGGCATTGAGTGTAAACATCACATGATCAGGTAGCTTTAAAAGACCAATTCTGCCAATTCATATTCCACCTGACGGGGGCTATACATTACCATCTGTCTGTAAATATCCATGGAAAATGTATGCATGCAAACTGTCAGACAGACAAACGTGACAAGGAAATGGCAAAACAGTGTCAGATGACACAGACCCGGCCGTGATGGAATGGCCTCTAACCTAGCACAGGGCTTATCTCTGCTGCATCCACCTTCGCCTCGCCCACACAAATCCAAGCCTTTTAGAGGGGATTTTCTGAGAAGGAAAATCCGTTGGCTTTTTCGAAACTGCAAGAATAAAACAGATGAGGGCCAAGACCTTTTGCTCTCCAGGCTATCAGCTCTCCTTGTGTGTTTGGTTGCAGTGTGCACACAAACATGTTTAAGTACAATGAGCTATGTGATTAAGTAACAACAGCTCAATAGCATTAAAGGTAACTAATGCACCTCTCTCATTATCTATAGAAAGCTCCTACAGTGTGTTGTCGTGGTGGAGTTGAATGTCTTTTGAGAGGCTAGTGACATCTTTTTCATCCACTCAGTGATTCCTCCTTTCACTGAAGGTATGAATTACATTGAGGCTTTGATGAGAGGATCCAATGGACAAACAAGTACCTCCTTAACACACACACACACACACATACACACACACACATCAGCAGCAGACTATATTTGTTTTAATTTAACATGTTTTTATTAAAGATAACAAAATGGAGAGTGATGGGAAAGGTGAGAAACAGAAAACAGACAGACCACAACAGAAAATGGTTGATGGTTGAACCTGCAACATTCAATAAATAAATTGTAGTTTATGTATCATAGCTTGTTAGGCTGACATTATTCCCTAAACATATTGCTTTTCACTCTTGCTGAACCTCCCTTGGGTTCTCCGGAGTTTGCCTTGATGTGATAGGATTAGAGCTAAGCCTTGACCCAGCAGATGCCATGGAGCCTTTTGGATCATCTCAGTTTAGCATGGAAAAAGTACTATATACTGTGGCATGCCAGGAAGCCTTACTCCACTCTCCTATTAAAATGTATGTTCATCCTTTAGTGGCAACCCATTTATTACAACTCCTGGTAAAGGAAATCTATCCTTTTAAAACTAGCAGCTAGTCCTTGCCACCTCTCTGCCTGAAAGACAGGTAAAAGTTTGGCATTTTGGGAAATATGCTTATTGGCAGAGAAGATATTTACCATTTCTGTCTGTCCATTAAATATAAGGCTACAGCCAGTAGCCATGTAGCTTAGCATAGCTTAGCACAAAGATCGAAAACAATGCAAAACAGGTAGCCTGCACAGAAAATTGTCGTTTTTACTCTGTGGTTTTTTTATCTAGAATAAACTAGCAAGATAGTTTGACACAGCCAAGCTACTTGTTTCCCCCTATCTCCAGTTTGTAGGCTAAGTTAAGCTAACAGGCTGCAGATTTTTGTGCACACACATGCACACCCAAACACACACACACACAAACCCACCCTTCCTGAGTGCTGCATCACATTTGCCAAGATCAATGCAAAGTTTATATGAGGGCTTTTAAGGTAAGCTTAGCTTTCCTTTTCATAGGGACTCGAGAGAGGAGCATTATTGTGTCTCTGTACGGGTGTGTGTGTGTGTGGGTGTGTTAGTGATGGTTCAGTGGAGATCCTCCTAAGTCTGGACCTTGGTGGAGTTGAGGCGTGACTCACGGTTTACCCCGCTGCTGCATGCCGCGCTGTGTAAGAGACCACATAGTGGATGAGGTCCATCAATAATTCAACAAAGACAGACTTCCTCTCTCTCTCCCTCTCCCCTCTGTGTTCTGCCTCTGTTTCTAACTGACTGAATCTTCCTCATACTTCCACAAACAGCCTCCATCTCCGGGCTCCCTCACACGCCTGTATCTCTGCTAGCCTTCCAAACCACTTACTACAAGCTGCAGCATGCTTTCAAATCTAAATCTGAGGCCTACCCAAGTAATCTTTGGCTTTTAAGAGATTTTTTCTACACTAGTAACAAGACATCAAGTTAGCGTTCTGTGATCATGTAAGATTAGGGCTACACAGAGTGCTAATCCTGTTCTGGACACTTTATATCAGATGTGGGAATCACTAAGTAAGATGTCAAACTTGGAGGAGTCAAAAGAGGAGTGTTTAAGAGGATTTTAGGAGATCATATTTTGACCACACAGTGGCTTAGTGGTTAGCGGTTACTCGCAGCAAGAAGGCACGAAACCTCACTGACTGAGGCCTTTATAAGAGTGATTTCTTTGTTTTACATTATTTCTATCCATTTTCCAAAAGCATATAGTGGCTTTATTTTCAATTTTATGTGATTCTTCCTTCTTTCTAGGCTGTCATTGATGACTTGACACTTCTATTAGTGAACATCAAGTTTGGATTTATTTTTTTAAAATTAACATTGTTGGTTTGATTAAAATTATCAACTTCATATCAGTCTTATTACATTATCCGAACCAGTATAATGTTAAATTTTTAAAACATGCAAATAGACTAGTATGATATCTTAATGCAACATCAGAACCAATGTACGAATTTGTTCAGTATATGCTCTTTTTCCACTGAAAACTGTCTTACAGGTAGTACAAATCTGA